TGATAAATACTTTCAGTTACCGAAATAGTGCAGGATGAGCTGCTGTCTGTGACGTATCAGGGTGATAAAGCCTATTATATTGTGAAAGAGACTGTAAAATCAATGAAAAACAGCTTTCAGCCAGGTTGAATACTGATATTGTCAGCATTGACAAAGGTAACGAGAACTGATTTTTTTTTAAAGTCTTCTGTGATGACGTGGAAGGGTCAAGATGATACAAGCTGTTGGTGATCGCAGAATATGGAAATGCATCATCGCCTACGCCATTCGGGAAGGTAGCAGTTGATGGGCGCTGAGCCGGACTTTTTTCAAGAAATGTCTTGTCTCCCAGTTCGACCCAGTCTTAAATGGGTGGTAGGTAAAGTCCTGGGAAGTAAAGGCGGTCGGCATGATGATAACCACATCACCTACCCGATTGGTCTATAAAATGTAGGTCTAACACTTCATGCAGATTATGCCTGATGGCGAGGAAAATGGTCCTTTATCCTTTTTACTTCATGATGATGATGATGATAACGACAAGTACTGTAATATTGGGAATGGTTTAGCCAATGAAATGGTTTGGCCGTTGAAATGGGTTGGTCATCTACTGAGAATGAAACCAACGATGCCAGCAGCAGGAGCGTATAACCTGAAAATCAAAACACCAAGAGACAGGGAAGAACCGAGAAGAATGTGGACTGAAGGAGTCAATGACACCTTGAGACTGCATAACATCACGGCATATCTGAGCGCGCCCTGACTCGGTTGCCGATCATCTGATGAACTGCGATGCCAAGCGACATAAGCAGATATTGACAAGAGAAGACTTTTTTTATATTTTTATTTTACGATAGCCTATGACAGTAGGGGAGGCACCTTGATGAAGCGGCTAGACGCTTGCCTGCAGATCGGAAGGTCATGGCTTCAGATCCTGACAGAGCAGACTTTTTTTTTCTTCAAAAATGACATTGGCTTCCAGATCGACCCAGCCCTAAATGGGTACCAGGTAAAGTTCTGAGAAGTAAAGGCGGCCGACGTGAAGTTGGCCACATCCCCCACTGAGTGCTGATAGGTATATAAAATTTAGGTCTAGCACTATATGCCCAAAAACGCATGAAGGCGGTGAAAAGGGTCCTTTACTAACTATTTCATTGTTTCCCAATTAGATACATTCCGCTGATCCCTTCTGTTTCCGAAGGCACATTATGCCATGCCAGTAGTATGTCTTAAGTTTACCGACGATGGCCACCAGACATAAAGTGGCACAGGTGAAAGCATACATGAGGATATCAGCAAACATCAACCACCCACTGCACAACGCTATCAATGATATAAGAGGGACGCGTCTCAAATAAGGCTCCTCTTGGATAGCCGAGGCGGTACATCTAATCAAGCAAGTATGTGACCTAGACGAGATCAGTCACGGAAAATAATTCACGGATACACCAGTAGACATGCCTGACTTGTCTAAGGCTGTCAAAACACGTGGGAGGTGCTGCAGGAGTCAGATGCCTGCCACCGTAGACGCCCGGATTAGGGCACTAATCGATCAGCATTTATGCCTAGAAGACGTGATGGGTACGTGAAGCACGGGTCAAGATTAGCATTGGTATACACAGCACAAAGGATGGGAAAAACAATAAAAGAGGATAGCGGTGCTTACCTGACAACTAGGTCAAGCATGATCATGGAGATAACTGTTGCTTCCAGAGCACACGCATGGTAGGAGAATAAGCAAACCCACACATGCTTTAATCGTTTCAGACTATAACAATTCTTCAGAAAATCGCAACAGGTAGTCTACGTCCGAATGGGTGGAAAATATTCAGAAGTCGCACTTAACCTCTATCACCTGGATCTACACACCTGGGCACGCAGTAGTAAATGGATAATGAAAAGAGCAGACTAACTGGCAAGTAATGCGCCAGTGCAAACGTGAGGAAGCATGAACAGAACTGATATACTAAAAGCTGTAGGGACTAGGTTAGGAGATAATGATGAATCTCTGACACTAAAACGACTGCGTGACCGAGGAATTAAAGTTGGTGAAGCACGTCTATGCCGTCTTCGAACTAAGGTATCATGGAAACAATCAGTAGAGGTACTTTGGAGAGGCTGCTGCATCAGAGGATTGAGCACGCACGGTAATGCCCAATATACAAAGACGACGATTGTGATAACATAACATAACATTATCGAAGGTCTGCAACAGATCCCACACTTTTAAATAGTTATATTAATTTTTTTTTAATAAAAAATAAATAAAATTACGTGGAAATATATATTAGAACTACAAAAAGAAGGGGGAGGGGGAGGGGAGGGGGGGGGGGGGTGGGAACTGAATGTGTATTTCATTCATTCATTCAGTAAGCATGTCCCCGCGGAACCTCGCTGCCATAACAACACTCCGAAAACCCTTCCTATCCTGAGCAAGATGTTCTGCGTCTGATACACCCATCTGGAGATCATCTGCCACATCCTGCACCCATCTTCTCCTTGGCCTCCTCTTCCTCTCTTCCCAGGCAATATACCCATCCATTATTGTTCTCTCTAGACTTCCATGACGTTTCAAGTGACCAAAATAACTTCAATTTTTCTTGTTTTATTGTCTTTACTAGCCAACCCTCTTCAATGTATTCAGCTCTTGAAGTATGGATGCATTTGTTCGTTTTCTTTACCAAGATATATCTCTAGAACCTGTCTGTAACATTTATATTGAAATGCATTTATGCGCTGTTCCGCTTGTTTAGTAAGTGTCCAGTCTCACAGGCGTATGTTGCAATGGGAAAGATGCATGCTCTTAAAAATCTGACCTTTTTGTAATTCTATCTGTACAATTCATAATTTATCAGTTGTTTTAGTCTTTTGAAGAGCAATTGATAGTCGCCGTTTAATTTCTTTCATTGTGTCACCATTGTTCGGTAACCAGTGACCCAGATATTCGAAATTTTCCACCACTTCCAATCTTTCCTCATTAACATATATTTCCTTCTCCATGGCAGTTTTGTTTGTATTTAATTTTGTTTGTATTAAATGTGTATTTACTTATTGTTTATTTTAATATATCACATATTTCTTACATATGTTCCGTGAACACACGGATGTACGATGACCACATGTTGAGAACCTCTGGTAGATGCTATGTGGCGTTAGTCATCAAATTTTGTCTACATTCTTCTAGGTCCTGTACTGCCATTCCCTACTATTACATACTAGAGACAGCATTGCAGATGTAAATAATTTATTTCATGCGAACGAAAGAAAAAGAACTACTATTACAGACACGGATTTATTTCCTTTCTTTGCAATGACGTATCTTGTCAAAGATCACCACTATCAGATAGTTCAACGAGACTCGCACTGTGGAAGATCACCACTATCAGATAGTTCAACGAGACTCGCACTGTGGAAGATCACCACTATCAGATAGTGCAACCAGACTCGCACTGTGGAAGATCACCACTATCAGATAGTGCAACCAGACTCGCACTGTGGAAGATCACCACTATCAGATAGTGCAACCAGACTCGCACTGTGGAAGATATTAGACCTCCTCCCGTAATATTCGAGAGTCACCGTGGTGTAGCGGCTAGACGCTTGTCTGCGGATCGGAAGGTCGTGGGTTCGGGTTTTAATGGAACCGAACTTTTTTTTCTCCAAAAAACGACCATGGCTCCCAGGTCGACTCAGCCTTGAATGGGTACCAGGTACATTCCTGTGAAGTAAAGGCGGCCGGCGTGATGCTGACCATATCACACACCAAGTTCCGTTTGGTCTTTAAAAATAACTCTAGCCCTATATGTTCTGTACCTTTTTTCTCTACCGTAACATTGCCAAAAGACAGCAAAGGGCGCGCTGACTGATCCTTCATTGTAGAGACGAAGGGGCTGCGTTGTCTCGAAGCATGGCGTCCGCTTCGAGTGCTAGAGGTCCTGTGTTTCATCCCCAGTTGAGGCTGTGATTTTTTTTTCGTAGTAATTTCCCCTGGTCTCAGAGTAGTAAGATCGGACGCCCGTGTGTATTGATGCGCACGTAAAAAATTACTTGGCAGTTGGAAATTGAAAAGAATAACCTAACGGCGCTGCCCGGGCACAATTTTGAGTTAAAAATCAACCCAAAGTATTTCAGGATCCTCGCTGGTGCTACGGAGTTCGTGCCCTGCGCTGAGAGACTTCGGATTCAGGCTTGAGTTAGAAGTAGAACGTAGCACTTATGGGTTATACCTTGTGCCATGATATTGATCCGTTGAATAAACGTAAACCCTAACATCGTAGAGACGGCAGCAAATGAATTGTTGAAAGAAAAGTTGCCCAATTATAAAAAGCAAGCCACATAATCTTTGTTCAGCCTGAACTACTGACGTAATATCCTTCGGGTAGTCAGGCGTCCAGGCTGAGCATTTGGTAGACCATCGCGGTAAAAACAACATGTGGTGTGTTAGGAAATGAGAATGTGGACAGACTGGCTGGCTCTGCCCAAATTTGTGGAATACTGATGCGTGATAAGGCAGATGTGCTGGGGGTCTTATGTGTACAATATTTAACAGCAAATTAATCATCACAGTCTGGTGCGAGTGATGCAGCTAAGCATGACGATATGGTCTGGCTGTTACTCGACTCTCAGAGGAAAGTCAGGACTGGCATAGAATCAGACTCCTACTGGCACCATGGGTATTGGAACTGCTCTGGCTGCTGAAGATGCGGACGCAGAGCTTATAGAAATGCCCAAGTGCTGTGATGTCGGTTATCGAATCGACTCAACTCAGCTCAACTCTTGTCACCTGTTAGTTGTGTGGCTTGTGACAATGTCTGCTAACGAAAACACGGCCCTAAGAGCGCGAGGAAATCTCAAAGTGTTTAACTTAGACTGACCCATGGTTAACTTATGTGGAGGTTGTGTATCTCTAAACACTTTGAGAAGCACTGATTCAAGAAAAATGAACACTGAGAATGGGATGAAAGTCGAGGGAGCTTATTGATTGTAGAAACAGACTGCGCTCCTGTACAGCATTAGCATATAATACTAGTACAGGCAGAATGATAGTATAGCCAGACAGATGACTGGACAGGCTTAGTGAGAAATAGAAAGACACAAGAAGATGGGAAGGATTTTTAAAAAAAAAAAAGACAGGCTGAAAGAAATACAGAAAACTGGACGGATGGATGAACAGATAGGCAGAAGGTCAACCAGACCGGCAGACGGATGAACAGACAGATAGGTAGACAGACAGACAGACAAGACAAGATTAGACTAGATAGACAGCCAGCCAAACAGACAGACAGACAGACAGCTAGCCAAATAGATACAGACAGACATACATACAGACAGATAGATATAGACAGACAGACAGCTAGCCAGATACAGACAGACAGACAGACAGACAGACAGACAGACAGACAGACAGACAGACAGACAGACAGACAGACAGACAGACAGACAGACAGACAGACAGACAGACAGACAGACAGACAGACAGACAGACAGACTGGCAGGCATACAGACATATAGACAGACAGATTCCCAGGGAATTAATGAATCACGACAAACCTAGTTAGAATATTTTCTATGGTTCTTTTCTGTTAAGTCACTACATCAAGCGAGATTTAGGGAAATTCTATAATATAGGGGGGTATACTATAGAATGTCCCTAAATCTCACGTGATGTGGTGACTTATCAGAAACGAACCCGTTCTATTTTTGAGCTATGGCGGGAAACTTGAAAGTACACCAGATACCTTTTTGTTTTTTGGTCCATAAACACGGGAAATCCACAGGTCACGGAACAGTCAACAATTTCCGGGGGTGGCAGATTAAGCGCATAGTTTTGGTTAGGGTTAGGGTTAGGTAAACTCTTGGTCTTGGAAGACAAGCGCTAAAGCACAGAAAACACGAAAACCCCGCTTTCACCACTCTCTAAAATATTGGACTGTCATGTGATGTAATTTGTGGTCAACTAAAAAGAAAGCATCTGTTTTTTTTTTTTCTGTGGTAAGGCCTTAGGGGCCATGCGGGGGATCCGAAACCTGGGGACTCCGGTTACATAGGCACACTGTCTAATCTAGGGAAAAGGAGGGGGGGGGGGGGGTGTCGCTCCCTCCGCAGACCACCTAATCTATAAAATTTGCTAAGTAGTAGCTACGTGACCCCATCAGATGTAGCAATGAAATCTAAGGAAGGATATAGATAAGTAGGACAGAATGCCAGATAGTCCTGCGTGTCAAATTATCAATCTTTTCTTAAACAACGATTTTTTTTTTTTTCATTCACTCGTTTAAAAAAAATATTTTTCGGAAAATTGAACTTGGTGTCTGGAATTTACCACATTTCGCTAACATCCAGAATATGACTTTGTTTAGTCTTACGGGACGGGGAAATTATTGTGTAAAGAAATTGATACTAGCTACGAGTTCTGAGTTTCAGACTAGTTACTTTGTCTGCTGTCAACTTTCAGTTTGAATCTACCTAGGAAACTTAGAGTCAAGGTAAACAGTCTATATCGAATGGGATTATCAGCAATTTCAGTATGACCAATAAATCACTGTAAACAAGATCTGAACTAATGATCTATAGGAGGAGGCACAGAAGGAGGATGATATGATGATGAAACAAGAAGAAAGAAAGAAAGAAAGAAAGAAAGAAAGAAAGAAAGAAAGAAAGAAAGAAAGAAAGAAAGAAAGAAAGAAAGAAAGAAAGAAAGAAAGAAAGAAGAAAGAAAAGAAAGAAAGAAAGAAAGAAAGAAAGAAAGAAAGAAAAGAAAGAAAGAAAGAAAGAAAGAAAGAAAGAAAGAAGAAAGAAAGAAAGAAAGAAAGAAAGAAAGAAAAGAAGAAGAAAGAAAGAAAGAAGAAAGAAAGAAAGAAAGAAAGAAAGAAGAAAGAGAAAAGAAAGAAAGAAAGAAAAAGAAAGAAAGAAAGAAAGAAAGAAAGAAAAAAGAAAGAAAGAAAGAAAAAGAAAGAAAGAAAGAAAAGAAAAAAAAGAAAGAAAGAAAGAAAAGAAAGAAAAGAAGAAAGAAAAGAAAGAAGAAGAAAGAAAGAAAGAAAGAAAGAAAGAAAGAAAGAAAGAAAGAAAGAAAGAAAGAAAGAAAGAAAGAAAGAAAGAAAGAAAGAAAGAAAGAAAGAAAGAAAGAAAGAAAGAAAGAAGATGGTGAGGCGAGAGGGGAGAAGAGAAAGGATCAGATGAGGAAGACCAGGATGAAGAAGAAATAGAAGAAGAAGAAGAAGAAGAAGAAGAAGAAGAAGAAGAAGAAGAAGAAGAAGAAGAAGAAGAAGAAGAAGAAGAAGAAGAAGAAGAAGAAGAAGAAGAAGAAGAAGAAGAAAAAAGAAGAAGAAGAAGAAGAAGAATAAGAAGAAGAAGAAGAAGAAGAAGAAGAAGAAGAAGAAGAAGAAGAAGAAGAAGAAGAAGAAGAAGAAGAAGAGGGAAGAAGAAGAAGAAGAAGAAGAAGAAGAAGAAGAAGAAGAAGAAGAAGAAGAAGAAGAAGAAGAAGAAGAAGAAGAAGAAGAAGAAGAAGAAGAAGAAGAAGAAGAAGAAGAAGAAGAAGAAGAACAAGAACAAGAACAAGAAGAAGAAGAACAAGAAGAAGAAGAAGAACAAGAAGAAGAAGGAAGAAGCAGCAACAGCAGTAGCAGAAGCAGAAAAAAAGGAGCAGGAGGAGGAGAAGAGGGAGGAGGAGGAGGAGGAGAGGGATGAGAAGGAGAAGGCGAGCAACAAGAACAACTAAAACAACAATATAGAGCGACCTATAATACTAATAACGAAAAAAGAACACTTTAAACATCACTCACTTGTTAAAAAGGTTAAGTCCAATTCTGTACAGGCGTTTTCTAACCTTGTCGTTTGTCTTAGATATGTTGTGCGATTCGTTGGTAATAATATTCATCCTGAGCTTCCGTTGATAACTTAGTGGGGTCTCACTACTCAACACAGTCACGTTGTCAGAGCTCACATTTCCTGAGCTATGAGCTCTGGAACTGTTGCCCTCACTAGTACTTGCTTCACTGGCCTCTGAAATGTTACTCATTCTTTTGGCTTCCCCTTTCTTCGCGGGCAAACCTCCATTAGGGACTTGGTCATCGCTAGGCTCAATTTCCTTTCTGGGCCAGGTTGGTGAGAAACCCGCAGCTCTTGTAGGGGGCACTACAGCAACATTACGTGGGGACTGTGGTGCCGCTGTATCTCTGTTTGAATGTCTGAATTGTGGATTTATCATGTAATATTTCATGTGGGTAGCAGTTATGTCTTCTTTGACAAAGGCTGGGCTATTGTGATCCATCATTGCTGGGTTAACTGTAGTATCAGTACTGTCAGAATGATCAGATATGTAATCCTTAGGGTCTATAGAGATTGTCCGGAAGCTGTCAAAAGACCCGACTGGAGATGATGAAACCCGATTTAGGTCTGACGCGTGGTCAACGAGTTTAGATCCAGGAATGGAAGATCTCTTGGTCAGTCCAGGATGACCACCAGCCATAGCTGCATCCTGGTTAAAACTGCCTTCACTGTGGAAACTGTCCGTGAGAATATCCGTCTCCTTACTCTCCAGCAAAGCCTCAAAGTCCATACTGAGGGGGTCTACGGCAGTATTCTCAACTGCGGGCGTCCTCATGAAATCACCACCCCCACTGGTTGAATTAGACTCGAACTGCTCCTTGGTGTTCGAATCCGAGCCATAGTAAGCATCCCCACCACTCGTGTTACTTCCTTGGCTGCTCACGCTGGTGCTCTTCGACCTGGTGCTTCTGCCGTAGCATTCATCTGAGTAAAAATCAGGACTGCTGAAGGAACTGTGGCTCAGGTGGATTAGGTGGCTCTTCTTCCCCTGCGGAAACACCACCCCGGCTTGACGATCTGGTGTCTGCATGTACATCAACCGTTCTGTAACCGGCCGAGGCATATCCGCCGTTGTGGCAACAGCATCATACTTCATCTTCAAAGGGTAGTCAGAATACCTGCTGGCGTTTTCAAAATCGGCCACCATGCTCCTGATACTGCGTCCGAAATAATTCTCCTCCTCATTGGCACGATTGTGGATGGCCCCGTTATTGTCTGTAGTTCCGGTGAGGTCAGTAGACAGCCTGTCTGACCACACTGTGTTGCTGCGCCCCAGTTCAGACAATCTTTTTGACAGACGTCGTTCACCGTAAGAATGACGAAGTTTCTGGAAGTTTTTGTTCATACAGTACTGGCGGAAGGCTCTCTGTATCGTTCTAGCGGCTCGCCTCGATCTTATAGAGCCGCCGTACTTCCTCTCCAACATTTCAACCTGACAGACAAACCAAAAATTTCAAGAATTTACAGGTAACGAAAATTTAAACGATAGAAACGAAGAATCCTAAATTTAACCAGAAGAAACAGGATCAAAAATGATGATGTCAAAAAACAAGTAGGGACGATCCTTGCACATCAAACGACAGCATAATTTCTTCTTCTTCTTTTTTCTTCTTCTTCTTCTTCTTTTCTTCTTCTTCTTCTTCTTCTTCTTCTTCTTCTTCTTCTTCTTCTTCTTCTTCTTCTTCTTCTTCTTCTGCGTCAAAAAGGGGTCTTCATAATGCTTCGTTTGAAAAAAAAAATCGGACATCGGAAAGGATCGAGCGGTTAGAAGAAGGACTTAGCCAGAGAGCTGACGCAAATATCACAACATAAGCTACGGATGTGGAGCAAATAAATCAGACCACAAAAAAAAAAAAAAAAAAAACGATTTTAGGAAACAACTAATTAGTCCTCTAATACGAAATTGCATGGAGGCAATGAGGCTTTAGAATCAAAACGCGTTAGAAAAGGCGTCTCAAAAATACCTATCATATACCAAACCTAGACCGGAGACACCAAACACATTCTGAGAACCTCTGCTTTCAACTGCGACCTTGGCCAATATGCCATGAAAGAAAAGGAAACAAATTAAAATGTTGGCGATATCCTGTTTCAGCTCGACTGGAGTTTGTGAAATCCGCACCCAAGCCAGCAGGATCCCCGCAGAACAGAAACAAGACCCCGACAATCCGGGGATTCACAGAGAGTCCTCATCTAATCTAATGTGATGTCCCAGCAGCATATGTCCTTCTTCTCCTCCTCCTCCTCTTTCTTCTTCTTCTTCTTCTTCTTCTTCTTCTTCTTCTTCTTCTTCTTCTTCTTTCTTCTTCTTCTTCTTCTTCTTCTTCTTCTTCTTCTTCTTCTTCTTCTTCTTCTTCTTCTTCTTCTTTTTCTTCTTCTTCTTCTTCTTCTTCTTTTTCTTTTTTTTCTCCTTCTTCTTCTTCTTCTTCTTTTTCTTTTTTTTCTCCTTCTTCTTCTTCTTCTTCTTCTTCTTCTTCTTCTTCTTCTTCTTCTTCTTCTTCTTCTTCTTCTTCTTCTTCTTCTTCTTCTTCTTCTTCTTTCTCTCCGCCTTTCCCCTCTTCTTTATATTCAGCTTTCTCCTGTTACCTCATAGACGTTCTGCAGGGAAATTGTAAGGATCTTCTTTTTATGCTCGTTATCTGCGCTTCACACGTTGGTTTTCATTTCTCTAGAATTGTTCTTCATGCAGTCGTTCTCATCTTCTGCCCTATTCGCTCTCGCTCTGTACTCATTATATTTCTTCATATCCATTAAATCTCCTTTAGATTGACACAGGAAGAATTTGTCTTGCCGCTAGACAAGCTGGGTTAAATACCCTGGTTGACGCACTTTTGTTTTCCTGAGATGACGTAATACTTTCCTTATGATTCACCGGTGACCTAATTGATAACGGGCTTACAATTTTTTTTTTAGTTCAGAATGTATTCTTCTTCTTCTTCTTCTTCTTCTTCTTCTTCTTCTTCTTCTTCTTCTTCTTCTTCTTCCGCTTCTTTTCTGTCTTCTTTTGATATTCGCTTTTCAGGTGTAATTATACAGAGCATGTTCACTGCATAGCTGTGTTGTTTGTGCATTTCGACAGATACATCCAACTTCTTCAAGCCTATTCTTTTTTTCTCAGTTCAACCCGCAAATGATTATTTATTCTTACCAGTATGGCTTCTCTCGTCCTTCGCCCACCCCCACCCCCAGTTTCCTCCTTGCCTCCCAACAGTCGGGAAATAAACTGTGAGTCCTACGTGCCGTGTTAACCATACAACTAGATGGTGATGGTAATTATGAAGACTTTCTTGTTTTTCTAGGCGTTCGGTTTTGTATACTCAGATCAGACCATCAGGTGGGTTGCCTCTATGAACTTTCATGTCAGCTGCAGGTCCTGCATGGTTCCCGATAGCTGGCTCTGTGCACTTTGCTTCTGGGGCCAGGTTTCTCTTCAAAACTGTAGGTAGAGTAGGCAGATCTACAGAATGTGCTCAGATGTTTGTGGTTCTGTTTTGACAGGCACACTGTGGGAGCTCTATAGTCTTTTTTTTTATGCATGTGGTAGTTGAGCCTGCAGTGTCTTGGTCGTAGACAGACAATTATTGTATGCTGTATTCTGTTGGGTTTAGTAATGGGTTCTTGTGGATGTTTACTGTTGGTTTGTTCTCCCCACAATAATTTTTATTCTTTCTTGAAAAGTGATATGATTTCTGGTAATGACAATAAAATAGCTCGCCTTTTCTCCTTTCTCCTCTTTCTATTCTTGGCAAGTTTTAAGTTTGAACAACGAATCAACATCAAGTAACCCATAAGTGCTTCTTTCTACTTCTAACTCAAGTATGAGTCCGAAGAAGCTCAGCACAGTGCACAAGCTCTGTAGCACCGGTGAGGATCCTGAAATACTTTGGGTAGATTTTTAACTCTAAATTTTGCCCAGGCAGCGCCGTTAGGCTACTCTTTTCGATTTCCAACTGCCAAGGGATTTTTTTACGTGCGCAACAATGCACACGGGCGTCAGATCTCACTACCCAGAGAGAAGAGGGAATTACTAGAAGTCCAAGTCCAAGTGACAAAATCTGTTTGCAAGTCTGTGCGCCAACTCATTTTCTATTTTATTTAGACGGCGAGTCAGTTCTCTCTTTTCTTGTTGTCTCGTGAATTTCTTTGAGTCACACGGAGGACTGGCATGCAGACACACAGAAAAAAAACAACGTTTTGTTTTTTTCCTCGTGAGGTTTTCTTACATCAATAATTGAATGCTGCTCTGCTCTGAAGCTGATTACGATTATTCTGATGATGTTGCTGATGATACTAACTATGATGATGATGATGATGACGATGATGATGATGATGATGATGATGATGATGATGATGATGATGATGATGATGATGATGATGATGATGACTGACAAGCCCAGGATTACAGATTAAAAAAAAAAAACACAATGTTCAAACTGTGTGTTCGCTAACCTGCTTATCGTGCAAATCTTGTGAAAGTTGATAGGAACTCTGATGTGGTCTAGACCACTTGACGGAGTCATCACTGCTGTTCTTTAGCGAACGCTGTCGCTGGATTCGGTTGTGGCTGTGGACCCCTCCCTGGTTCACCAGTTTGGAAGATGTTCCGTTGCGCGTCGGTATGGAGGTGTCGGGTCCACCCTGGGAGTAGCTTCTCTGACCCTGTGCTCTGGCTGGAGCCTCATTGTAGGCCTTGACTCCAGTAACACTGGAAAAGAAAGCAGAGTGTTCGTTTACATATCCTTCACGGCATTGTTCTTCCACAGTTTTACACCCGCGGACCAGCAAATATTTTGTGCAAATAGTTGACGCACCTGGGAAACAGACGAACTAGTTCACGGATCTGGAAAACAGAAGAACTAGTTCACGGCCCTGGAAAATAGAAGAACTAGTTCACGGCCCTGGAAAATAGAAGAACTAGTTCACGGACCTGGAAAATAGAAGAACTAGTTAATGGACTTGGAAAGTAGAAAAACTAGTTTACGGACCTGGACAATAGAAGAACTAGTTAATGGACCTGGAAAATAGAAAAACTAATTCACGGACCTGGAAAATAGAAAAACTAGTTCACGGACCTGGAAAATAGGAGTCCATTCTCGCTGGTCGGCTAATTAAAAAAAAAATTAAAAATGTAAAGGACCCTTTACCCCACCTTCAGACCTATTGTGCATACAATGCTAGTCCTATGTTTTGTAGACCAATCAGAACTTGGTAAGTGATGCGGTTATCATCACGCCGGTCGCCTTTACTTTCCAGGACTGTACCTGGCACCCACTCAAGGCTGGGTCGATTTAAGGACCAAGGTCATTTCTGAAGAAAGCCTGGCTTCGCCAGGATCCGAACCCACGACTTTTCGATACGAAGGCGAACGTCTAGCCGCGACATTACGGCTACTCCCTGACCGGTTGATGGCTACGACTAAATAAAAGATAATAATAAATGCCACGCTTTCGTCGACGGACCAGCTACGGCGATACTTCATTCGACGGCTGTTCTCTTCGCATTTACTTACGGCGCTATACTGTTAAGTCCAGCGTCTAACTTAAATCGTCTAGCACAGTGGTTCTAAATCTTCCTAATGCCACGACCCTTAAATACAGTTCCCTCATGTCGTGGCGACCCCCAAACAATTATTTTTCTTTATAACTTCATATTGAAAAGCCTTGAAAGGGTCATTTGACCCCCCCCCCCCCCCAAAAAAAAAAAAGAGTTGTCACCAACAGGTTGGGAACCGTTGGTGTAGAGTCTCTGTGTGAATTACAGTTCCCATGGGGGAGGGGGTATTGGGACATAGACCCACTGCCTCCTAATAAACATGTCGTAAAAGACGAACAATTAGGGTTGTTTGCTTCGAAGTAGCGATGCATCTGCCTGACAGCCCAGGAGCCAAAAATCTGCGTACTATAAAGCGAAATCTAGAAACAGAGGATTTAGGGCCGAATTCCTAGTGTAGACGCTACGGACTGTGCAGGTAAGGATTTTCATTGCGTCCTCTGGCAGAAAAAGAAAACTCCATTAGCTTACCGAAGATTCAAACCTGCGTCTTCGGCATGAGAGCCCATTGTTCTCAACCGTTTGGCCAGCTATTCCTCAACCAACTTGAACACACATCGATATGTTATAATTTATCAACATATAGCTGCAGAAACCGAATGACAGCTGTATTCGTGATTTATACCCAGTAACTCACTAGGAGTCGACAAGGGCTGGTAATTTAGTGGTTTCCACTCAATTACCCAGAAATGGCACTGCGTGTGGGGCATATTACGTCGTGGATTGTCTCATAAATTGTTACCTGACTAAAGGACAAAGTGGCAAGCGACATTGGCATTGAGTCGGTGTTTCTGCACTTCGAACTAAACAACTTGTGTTCAGTCTCCATAATATAATTTAATAATAATGAGGGAAACCAGTTAGGTAGTCCTTTGTGAAATAATCAGTACAGAGGCATTGAAGAAATGTAATGAGTACAGAGCAAAGGAAAGAATACGCAGAAGCTGAAATGGCGGCAACAAGAACAAGCATTGAAAAATGAAAACCAACCGACGTAGAATTTTAAAAAGAACACACAGTAGACGCTTACATCTTCCACAACATTTCGTTGAATTAGCTGGAAGTAGAAGAGGAATTAGAATTAGTAGAATCAGTAGTAGTAGCAACATTAATAGTAGTAGTCGTGGTAGTAGTACCAGCATTACAACAGTAGTAGCTGCAGTAGCAGCAGTAGTAATAGTAGCAGTAGGCGTAGTTTAGCATTAGTAGGAGCAGTAGTAGTAGCAGCATTAATAACAATAGTAGTAGTCGTGGTAGTAGTACCAGTAGCAACATTACAACAGTAGTAGTTGCAGTAGCAGCATTAGTAATAGTAGCAGTAGGCGTAGTTTAGCATTAGTAGAAGCAGTAGTAGTAGCAGCATTAATAACAATAGTAGTAGTCGTGGTAGTAGTACCAGTAGCAACATTACAACAGTAGTAGTTGCAGTAGCAGCATTAGTAATAGTAGCAGTAGGCGTAGTTTAGCATTAGTAGAAGCAGTAGTAGTAGCAGCATTAATAACAATAGTAGTAGTCGTGGTAGTAGTACCAGTAGCAACATTACAACAGTAGTAGCTGCAGTAGCAGCAGTAGTTATAGTAGCAGTAGGCGTAGTTTAGCATTAGTAGAAGCAGTAGTAGTAGCAGCATTATTAACAATAGTAGTAGTCGTGGTAGTAATACCAGTAGCAACATTACAACAGTAGTAGTTGCAGTAGCAGCATTAGTAATAGTAGCAGTAGGCGTAGTTTAGCATTAGTAGAAGCAGTAGTAGTAGCAGCATTAATAACAATAGTAGTAGTCGTGGTAGTAGTACCAGTAGCAACATTACAACAGTAGTAGTTGCAGTAGCAGCATTAGTAATAGTAGCAGTAGGTGTAGTTTAGCATTAGTAGAAGCAGTAGTAGTAGCAGCATTAATAACAATAGTAGTAGTCGTGGTAGTAGTACCAGTAGCAACATTACAACAGTAGTAGTTGCAGTAGCAGCATTAGTAATAGTAGCAGTAGGTGTAGTTTAGCATTAGTAGAAGCAGTAGTAGTAGCAGCATTATTAGCAATAGTAGTAGTCGTGGTAGTAGTACCAGCATAACAACAGTAGTAGCTGCAGTAGCAGCAGTAGTAATAGTAGCAGTAGGCGTAGTTTAGCATTAGTAGGAGCAGTAGTAGTATTATTAGTTGTAGTAATATTATTATTATTATTATTATTATTATTATTAGTAGTAGTGGTAGCAGTAGTAGCAGCAGCAGCAGCAGTAGTAGACGTAGTAAAAGTATTAGTTTTAACAGTAGTAGTATTAGTAGCAGTAGTATTATTAGTAGCAGCAGCATCAGCAGTAGTAGTAGAAGCAGCAGCATCAGCAGCAGTAGCAGTAGCAGCAGCATCAGTATTAGTGGTAGTAGTAGCAGCAGCAGTAGCAGTAGTCGTAGTCGAAGTAGTAGTAGTAATAGTATTGTAGTAATAGTATTGTAGTAGTAGTAGTAGTAGTAGTAGTAGTAGTAGTAGTAGTAGTAGTAATAGTAGTAGTAGTAGTAATAGTATTGTTGTATTAGTAGTAGTAGTGGCAGTGGTGGTGGTGGTAGTGGTGGTCGAGGTTTCAAGTTCACTGCAATCGGGTCACCACATACATGCTCCGTTCCTATGCCAGTGAAAAACTGGTAAACAAACAATTTGTCCCGACACAGTTCGGAAATATGCGCACGCGGTAAATGGATAAGGCAGTTGCTAGAGACGCCAAAGCCAACAGTCACCACCAGAAATGCAGTTTGGCATTGATAGAAGTTGTCAGTCACGATATGTTGCCCATACACACGCAAAATTATTACATAATACATTTTACCAGCCTACACTTAAACCGGCTACCCGCCATACTAAATACAACGATACAACCGCTGCACAAATGAAAGGCATTCCACATGACAAAGAGAGCTCACTCTGCACCAAGTACTTTATTCAATAGATCAGGCAGCAGCACGAAAATAAACATTCTGCCCTGCCTATCCACCATATTGAGCCGGAAATCAATGATGATCATACCCAACCACCTCCAGGTCCGGTGACCGTGTCGCCTTTTGGTTGACCAGTGAGCAACACGGTCGTTGTCCAGAAAGCGAGGAAAAAGAAGAAGATGATGATGATGACGATGAAGTAGTAAAAACAAAAGCCTAGCCACTACCCTACTGCGTCTCCCTAATAACAAAATGATCGATAGATTATCAGTACACACTAGTGCATTTAACATAATCAGGACTGTATTTAAGCATGTGCAACATCTGCGGCTGCACAGAGAGGGAAATCCTTCTAAATTGATATTCTTGCAGTCTGGTCATGCGTCCAGGTTCACAGGCATCGCTTGGTTCTCGCAAACGACTCACTTCTCGTAGAGCATTCAGTATATCAGCATGGTCCACGGAGCGTCCGCCTGCCCGCCATAGTAGCTTGACCTGCAAGCCTATCAGCTAGCTCATTTCCTTGTACACCTGTGTGTCACGGCACGAATTTAAAACCGATATGCATCAGCTCCGACCGCCTCAGAAACTCCAGCTGCTGTCTCCCGACCGAACACATCTCTGTTTTCCTGAGCCTGCTCATTGAGTCACCAAGAAAACATGGGTGGGTAAAGGTTTGTGCCTTCAGCAATGTTATCGCTTTGGTCACTGCCATTACCTTCAAAGTCAATCTACTCGTAGTCAAGGTGAAAGCATCGGAAAGTATTGTAGGTATAAATCAATAAAGTCTAGGCGAGTTTTTTGGTACTGAATAAGTTACAAAGCTGCTTTAAGTTTAGACGATCCCATCTAGTCGGCTTCTAGATTTGGTAGGGATATCCCCACAACGTCCCATAGTATGGGGGGTTGGGGGGTGGGGTGGGGGGGGGTTTGGTTTAGGGCTAGTAGTAGTTGCTAATAGTAACATCACTGAATTACTCTTTGCTGATGACCAGGCCTTGATTGCAGATACAGCCATGAAATTGTATCAACATCTTACATCCGTTAATGAAGAATGTAAATTAAAAAATATGAGAAACAACATCGAAAGGACAGAAGCAATGTGAGTAGGAAGAAAGAAGCAGAATTTAAATTTAACATTAGAGCATACATATATTAAACAGGCATCTGAGTTTAAATATCACGGAACAACATTTACTGAAGATGGTAGGTAAACTG